GGATACCGTTGGAGAAAGATTTACTACCTGCAGCAACAGAGTTCTTTTCAAAGCAGTGTCTTCCCTGAACACAGGAATTAACAAGGGCTTTAGCTGGGTAGCCTGAACAAATTCATAAAGGAAAGAGGGCACATTTCTGAACATGCTCCAACTTGACTTTTAGCAGTTTCCCTTTAGGAAATACACGAAAAGAAAAACTGCCTTGCAAGATTTGAAGGGACTACAATAACATCTAGACCCAACCCAGCATTTCACTCATAATTAAGCCTTTCCAGAAGGCCAACTGGGATAGAAGATGCAGCACCAGCTCAACTGTTTTGCTTATCAGCTCTCAGGGCTGCTGCTCGTGGGTTTTCATCCTTCCAACAGGTACCTACTAAGCACCACCCAAGCACTGGAAATCATCTCACATCCTGAACCTCAGATGATGATGACGCTGAAACCCAAGGGCATTAAAAACTAAGTTGGAGAAAGAAAACATGAGGAAACTGGACATTATGATTTTTATACAGATGCAAGGTAAAAATTAAGATTTGTAAATTAATTGTAACACATTATTTTATCTTCGTTTTAAAGGGGATGTTGTAGAAAATACATGATTCTGTAAGTCTGTGTGTTTGACTGAAGCTTAGGCTCTGGAGTGGTCCAGTGGGACAGTAGAATTGCTTCTGGAGATGTGGCTGGGCTTCTCAGAGTCCTTGGGAAAGCTGTTCCTGACTACCCTAAGTGCAGACTCCAATGCTCACAATGACAAAGCTAGCACAGAAAGAAGCATCAAGGTGTCAGATAAACACTTGAACCCTCGGCATCAACAGTAACGCTCGCTCCACTTTCTGTGTCGTGGACTAGAAAGCACCTCTGACAGAACAGCAGACCTCAACAGAAACAGACAATGGTACGTATGTGCCCACAGGAAACTTCTGGAGACTGAAGTGAGAAGATTTTTGGAGATGGGATGGGATGGGATGGGATGGGATGGGATGGGATGGGATGGGATGGGATGGGATGGGATGGGAATATGAGTTGAGCAGTGCCTATGGATCACTCTCTCAGAAGAGTGATATGTGCACACAGATATGTGTCTTTAAGGAAGAGGCTGACTCAAAGGAAGAATTGCCAGGAATTGTGAAAACCACTCTGGATAGTGAAAACAGTAAAATACAGACGACAAGAAGAGCTGGTGGGACCATTCTACAGGTCAGAGGGATGAGGTTAGGATTACAGCTAAGGGGTAGAACAGAGATTATTTTCCTGCAAAGGGGGGCAGGGCAAAGGTGGTTGATACACAATGTGCTAAGGATGAAGCAAAGGGGAATTCAGTGGGCTCAGAGCTATGGTTTTGCTTGTGGTATAGAACAAAGTCATCTTCAAAACAGGATGAGAAAGAAACTTGATGAGGCAAAAGCCTCAGTGCACCTACCTTGGGTCACAGATCAGATAGATACAGAGGCCAAAAAGCAGACTCCAGAGCTCAAGTTTTATAACCCAGAAAGCATTCAGACCCTATCCTTCCGTCTACTTTTCAATCTTATTGTAGACCTTTCTATTTACATGGTCTAAAAAAGCAGGGATAACTGCAAAGAAACTTTTTTTTAGTGTGTGTGTGTGTGTGTGTGTGTGTGTGTGTGTGTGTGTGTGTGGGTGTGTGTGGGTGTGTACATGTGGGGTGGGTGTGTGCATGTGAGCACACATGCCCAGGGGGCCAGAAGACCCTCTTGATAGACTAGAATTTCTTAAAGATGAAAGAAGGGATAAGTTTTTACTTTAGAAAGAGGTGCTTGGTGTGATGTGGTTTCATTTTACTCTTCCTTTCACCACTTCATAACCCTGTATCTCTTTTCTAATTCTTTTTTTTTAACTTTTATTTAAGATTTTATTTATTCATTATGTATACAGTCTTCTGCCTGCATGTCAGCAGAGGGCACCAGATCTCATTCTAGGTGGTTGTGAGCCACCATGTGGTTGCCGGGAATTGAACTCAGGACCTCTGGAAGAGCAGTCAGTGCTCTTAACCGCTGAGCCATCTCTCCAGCCCTTTTTCTAATTCTTTTGGGCAAACAAGTACATCTCTAGTAAAAGAAACTATGAGCTGGCCCTCAGTTCTAGTGGAGACCTGCTGAGCTTCTGCTACCTAAGAAGTGCAAGATACTTTCTCTTCCCCACACCAACATGTATTTGTCCCTTCCACACTGTTTGGTTTTCATTGTCAAGTTGACACAAACTAGAGTTACCCAGGAATAAGGAACCTTAGCTGAAGAACTGCTTCCCTAAGGTTGGACTGTGGGCATATTTGTGGGGCATTTTCTTGATTACTTGCTTGATGTGGGGGACAGCCCACTGTGGGCAGTACCATTCCTAGAGAGATAGGCCTGGGCTGTGTGAGAAAGCTAGTTGAATGTAAGCTTGGGAGCAAGCCACTAAGCATCAGTCCTCCATAGTCTCTGCTTCAATTCCCACCTCCATGTTCCTGTTCTGCCTTCTTCCCTATGTACTGTAACCTGAAAGTGTAAGATGAAATAAATCCTTTATCCCTCAATCTGCTTTGGTCAATGTTCTATCAAAAATAAAAGAAAAACAAACTAGGACACTTTTTTTTTTTTTACTCAATTAGTCTTGCACTTACTGAATGACCTTTAAAATGTCACCTATAGTCCTACTCTGCAGCATTGCACGTCAGACTTTAATAGACTATGGATCACCGAGGGATCACACTGTAAAGCAGACTCTGATCTGGAAGCCCTGGGCAGGACTGTCCTCAGCTGTGAACCATATTGCTGCTCAGTAGCACTTACCTTAGGAAGGCCCTACAGCAGCAGCACTCCAAGTGTGGTTAGTTCCCAGATGCCGGCTGCTCAGTAGACTGCTGCCAGTCCACAAGGAAATAAAGAGCAAGTTCATCAATCAACAAGCCAGCTTCGACCCTAATAAGCTTTTAACTTTTGAAGGAGCAGATCATTGATTTCACCTTCTGGCATAAGACCCCTCTGGCAGCAACTGTACATTTACATTAACTACTTCTTACATCCTCTACATTGTCATCCTCTTCAATGCCATCCTCTTCCTGTCTCCTCTGCACTGTCATCCTCTGCACTGTCATCCTCTGCACTGCCATCCCCTGCACTGTCATCCCCTGCACTGTCATCCCCTGCACTGTCATCCCCTGCACTGCCATCCCCTGCACTGCCATCCCCTGCACTGTCATCCCCTGCACTATCATCCTCTGCACTGCCATCCTCTGCACTGTCATCCTCTGCACTGTCATCCTCTGCACTGTCATCCTCTGCACTGTCATCCTCTGCACTGTCATCCTCTGCACTGTCATCCTCTGCACTGTCATCCTCTGCACTGTCATCTCCTTCAATGCAGTCAACAGAACTGAAAATTACATTCCATTTCTTTTGTCAGCCATGCCACTCTACATACACATTCACATTGAACTAACTGACCTTTGAAATACGCACATTGCTTCTAATTATAGAAGCATAGTGTATTTGTTTCTTTTCTCATCAATGTGGCAGAATGCCTAATAAAATCAACTTAAGAAAGAACTTGGCTCATAGTTTAAGAACAGTTTCAGCCATCATGGAAGGGATGTGGCAGGAGTATGTGCACTAGAATATTTTAAAACATTCTGGGGGAAAATATGAGAGAATCTTGTTTGACAGCTGGGTGTGATAGCACATACCTACAATACCAGAACTGGGTTGATGGAGGTAAAAGGATCAGGAGTTCAAGGCCAGCTTTGGCTACAAAGTTTAAGATACCCCAAGGCTACAGCATGAGTCTCTGACTCAAAAATACTTGCTATCTAGATACAGAAACAAGATTATTAGGATATGGTGGAGAGATATGCATATAGTTGATAAGCAGAGAGATAAAGGTCTAGTAATAGGCCCCTACAATTTAAGTTCCTGTGGGTGATAGAGAAGGGGATGATGGGGGGAGTGGAAGGGGAGTGGGGGTGTGAGGGATAGGGGAGGTATCAAACCCAGGGCCTTATATATAGAGACAAGTATGCTACAACTAAGCTACAATTCCAGTTCAAGTAATAGTTAGCAACCATCAGAACAGAGAATACCTTTTTTAGAATACAGAACTGATTCTAAAACAATTTACCATCCATAAGCAAAGAGCAGACCGTCAACAAAAGTCTCACAGATTATATAATGGTTCATCAACTTTAAATGTAAAGTGTAAAACTATAAAATTTTAGAGAATTGAGGGCTAAATAAAAACTTCTTCAATTTGACCCCCAAAGCTCAATGCATAAGAGGCAGCTGTTGTGTGGCCACCACCACAGAAGGAGGGGTGAAGCAGGAGGAGGGGTGGAAGCCTGACAAGAAGTGAGGCCAAGGAGATGGAGCCTAGGGAATGCCACAAGAACAAGCTGGCTCCAGAGAATACCAGCTAGGAGTCCATCACCAGCTTGGGGTCTGTCCAGTCAGAACCCATGACAGCTCTTCAGAGAGTTACAGCAGACAAATAGCTACATCTGCACATTAAACCTGACTTGCATAATGGAGGGCAGTCCCGGATCACATTGCTGAGACGACTGAGAGCAAAGGAGGAACAGACACAAGTCCTGGTGACAATGGCTGTGTGGGGAAGGGGCAGTGTTCACAGCCCAGCAGCAGATTCAGTAGGAGCAGTTCCCTCCCGCCAATGTGCGAACCAACACTATCACAGCCCAAAAAGACGGGTATTCCAATGAATTCAGGGTAAGAGTAAAACTAATACTCGAGGTGGGCTGTCCTGCAGGATGAAAAGAGCTAAATCCTTATTTCCCATGGGAACAATGCCTGAAATGAAGTCAAAGCCAAGAACTAGCATGGTTTGGAAGTACATTCAAAGAATCAACAACCATGATGACCTCTAGAGCCCTGAGATGGCACACAGAATGGTGTGGGGCTGTTTGATGTTTTCTTGTTACCTAATGCATCCCTGGGCCAAAACTGATCCCACAACTGAACTCCTAATTGGACCCATTGTGAGTTTTCAGGCCTGTGCTTCTTGGTTTCTCTACTAGTACAAAACAAGCCTTCATGTTTCCAAATGAGTGGGAGAAAATGAAAGAATAGGATTGTTTTTCTAACATAAGCCATTCTGGGCAGAAGAGACAGCAGCAGCAGAGATAGGAAATGAAATATGGACAGCTGAGCAAGCATAGAGTAAGCAAGGGGGGGGAGGCATGGCAAAGGGAAGGGGAAGAAGGAGGGGCAGGGAGGAACAGGAGCTGAAGGAGGAGGAGGAGGGCATGAGAAATATCCAGGAACATCCTATGTGTAGGAGACAGGGCGAGCAGAGTACCTTAGGCCCACTGCAGACAGATCCCTGTGCTCTGTAGCCTTGTGCGCTGGCTGGTTGGTTCAACAGTATTAGGTCACTCCCAAATACTTTCAGCTTAGGCTCTCACCACACCTAACTTTTATTTCTGCTGATTTCCAAGGCTTTAAAATCTAGAGCTAGAAGGAGTCACCTCTAGGTGAACATCTGGATCTACCTCTGCCAACATGCAGACACTCTTTCATTGAACTGCTTTCTACCTGTTAAGCAATGTGTCAAACATTAAGTTTTTGATTTTAAATAACTCATGTTGTGATGGCAGAACTGCCTAAAATGTAACAGGTAAAGCAATATAATTGGTATAAATAAAAGCTGGTGGAAATACCAAAAATAACAATGTACATATTTAAAGTTTTTATTATGCATAATGTCAAACAGAAGCAAAAACATCCAATAACAACTAACAAGCTCTTAAGTCATCACTTTGCTCTGATTATCAAATCATGGTCTTTTAAATCATTCTTTTAAATCCAGTTACTGTCTTCACAGTAACACATCATTTCATCATAAATACAGCTTATATTTCTTATACAGACCCTCTAATAATGATAAAAATCTAAATCTACACAATTAGCATGTTTTTTAAAAATCTGCATTTTTTTATGATGTGTCTCTGTGTATCTGTGTGTATGTGCATTCATGCACTCTGAGAGGCCAGAGACATTAGATTCTCTGGAGCTAGAATTATAAAGGCAGCTGTGATGCGGGTGCTGAGAATTGAACTTGGGTCCTCAAGAACAGTACATGCTCGTAAGTGCTGAGCCTCTCTCCTTAGTAGGTTTCTTTGTTTTTTTAAATGAAGGTATAATTTGCAAAATGAAAACATACAGATCTTAATGTATTTGAATTCTGACAGTTATACATTTCAGTGTGAGCACTACACAAAGCATCACACTTCCATAACCCAGAAGGTTCCAAAAATACATTTCCTGGCCCATTTCCCAACCCAAATAATTATTTTCTGACTTCTAATGCCACAATGAATCCTGCTATTCACAGACTTTTATAAATGGAATCACAAGGCATTATGAAGTATTGACATTGTGACCAAAGCACAGGAAGTGCTCCAGCTGGAAAACCTGTAACAAGCGTAAAGCTGTGTCAGGGCATATTCACAAGATACAGAAGGGCTCAAAGAGATTGGCAACCAGAACAAGGGGCTGGTAACTGATGGATGGAAGGAAGGAAGGAAGGAAGGAAGGAAGGAAGGAAGGAAGGAAGGAAGGAAGGAAGGATCCCTAGAGAGTTGGGCTTTCCAGATTAAATGCTTTCCCAAGATCCCAAACGATTTTTCTGAGTTAAACTAGTCCATTCTCCCAATAACCTCAATTTCCCTCAATCTCCAATTGAGAGTGATCAAGGCAGGAACAGAGCCCTATATGCCCTGGTTATTGGTCCCACCTTGTGTAAAAGCTTGCTGCCAGTTCAAGGAAGGGTGTCAGCCAAGCCCAGTGACTTTCCTAGAGCAGCATAATATACCTGTCTTAAGAAGCAGCCACAGTAGGTTAAAACCCACTACTATTACTTTGCTAAATTGACATAGCAATGAAATTGACTCCTAATGATTTATTGCTAAACTCACATATCCGTGCATTTCTCAGCACTCATCAGAGAAGCATCTTGCAGTAGATGCAGTTAATACAGAGACTCACAATTGGTCAATGTGCAAAGAGTGAGAGACTTTGGAGTGCTCAGCCTGAAGTGGGATGCCCGTATCACACCTCTCCCCTTAGAGTTCAGGGGTTTAAATAAAGAAGCAGTCATAAGCCACAAAGTCTTACCATGATCTGAATTTCCCTCTTGCACACCTGGAGATCATGCTCATTGTTGACAAACATACGTTTCAAGGCACATTTCACCCCATTGCTTGTTCTCACCAGAAAGACAAGAGCAAATCCACCTGTAAGAAGCACACACAGAGAAACTCTTTTGAGTAAGGTGCAAAGTCAGTCAGGAACTCAGGCTGCTGCTGTCGTCACCTCTCGTGGTACTGATACCACTATCAGCCAGTCTTCAAAGCAGCCTGGCCTAGACAGCATCCTCATACTCTCGGAACTTAACAGCCACAGTCAAAGAAGTCCTGCACACCTAACCCAGAATCAAGGACAAACAGCAACTATTTTCCAAAGAAACTACAAGGTATTTTTTTTAATTAAGCCTAGTACTTACTTTCTTATCAGAGAGGCTAGAAAATTCTTCTAGTGCTTGCTAACATACATAGTTGCCACTTTACTTCAGGAATGTCCTTTTCCTTTCTTCTTCCCGGCCCCACTTGACCTCTCATTCAGGTGTAGCAGGAGACCCTGGAGTCTCTGCACCTGTCTGTCACTGCATGTGCTGCTGAGACATAAGACCCAGTGTGAGTGAGCTGCTTTACAGTGGGACATCAAGACTCACTGATCAATACCCCACTTTCCTTTACCCAAAGACAGCTCACAATTCATTAATAGACATTTTGTAACTTTAACTGGTATGCTCAAATGTGCTGAATTAGTTCATTCTTGGAGTTCCACATAATCTTAGAACTAACTTCCACCTAACTCCAGAAGCACTGTCTGCCTTGAAGGTCAGATAGACAAGAGTGGCAAAGCAGTCACAGGTCAAAGTCTTGAAACAGCAGCAGTTTAGTGAACAAAAAGCCCAACCACCTGCCTTGTATAGCTTCATCGCTTAACTCAAATGTCCTGTTCATCAATCCTGTGAAGCAAAAAATCACTAAGCTATTCTTTGCAAAGAGTTGGCACAAATCAGACAGAAGTGAACACAGAGGGAAGTGATCAGTATAAGAACTTGAGTTGAGGCTGTGATTCAGTACTGAGCTAGCAGACATTGCAAAGTTGATAGAAACCAAAAAGTAGCCAATACAGAGATCTTAGGCCTCTGAGAATCAGGAATCAGGATTCACTGGTACCATTTTAACTTCCCTGAGACTCGGTGACACTTCAGTGCCTGTCTGCTGATGTTCCCAGCATTTATTAGCTTTACAGTTACTATTCAAGCTAACCCGGGTAGGAAATCTATTCCCTGCAGTCCCTATAGTCTTACACATAAAGTTACTATTCCTTATTTTCACAAAACACATGCATCATTCTGAAAAAAAAAAGTTAATGGACTCAGATGTTTCCAAAGCTACATTAGGATCATGATTTATCAAAGACTGCATGTCTATTGACTATCACTACATTCTTCAATATTGCAAACCAGTTAAACTTCCTATGAAATCTATGATACCAACAACTATGTTACTTTTATCAAAAAAAGGCTTTTATTTTCTTGCAATACATTAAACTGTTTCATTATCAATTTTAAATGTAGATTTTTTTTAAGTACTTACTTTTGTTCGTTTGCTTTTCAAGACAGGGTTTCTCTGTGTAGCCCTGGTTGTCCTAGAACTTGAATTGCAAACCAGAATGGCAGCAAACTCAAAGAGATCCACCTGCTTCTGCTTACCAAGTGCTGGGATTAAAGGCGTGCTCCACCATGCCCAAATGAGTACTTACTTTTTTAAAAAGAACACATAGCATCAAAACTTAGTCTTCTTTCTCTTCTCTCCATTCCCCTTTCTTCCAAAATTACTTTTATTTTTTGAGATAGGGTCTCATGTGGCCTTAGCTAGCTTGAACTGATTTTCTCTCTCTGCCCTAGTAAATGCCAGGATTATTAAATGTTTACCATCATACCCAGCCTATAATTCCTAAATTCCAATATGCATTGTTTAAAATATATAATTTTTAAGAGGTGAAGAAAAAATTAAATGTAAGAAATATGTATCAGCTCTTGTCTGAAACCATCTTACAATTTATTAGATTGAACAAAGTAGTTACACAATTTCAAACACTCCATTTATATCCATGACTGTTTTATATATAAACCAAGAAGATATTTATTTTGCCAGATATTTTGAATACTTTATAATTTCATTCAGCTATAGCCTGGGCATAGAGTCACCATAAAAAGCATGAAGCCCTGAACTGGTTTTTTGGAGCCCATTCTCTATGGAGGGATACCTTGCTCAGCCTAGATCTAGGAGGGAGGACCTTGATCCTGCCTCAAAGTGATGTGCCAGACTTGGTTGACTCCCATGGGAAGCCTCAACCTCTCTGAGAAGTGGATGGGAGATGGGATGGAGGAAGTGGGAGGAGGGGGAGGGAGTGGGAAATGGAATTGGTATGTAAAATGAGAAGATCATTTTTAAATGAAAAAAAAAAGCATAAAGCCCAAGAAATCTGTTTTATGCATAAAGAAACCAAGAAAAGCTTTAGGAGTCTCACAGCCAGTTATAGGCAGAACCTGGAGTGGTGTCATCCTCCTGACTGTCAAAAAATTGGTACCTTCCACTTTGCCTATCATGACCAAAAAACATACAACACTTCTTTATATAGCAAGGCAAAAGAAGATGGCTCTGCTGAATTAGTATGAATATTTCCTCCACTAGAAATAAGCAACCCTTCATTTCACTAATAGCCAAAGACCAGAAATGACAGCCTTAGATCCACAAAGAAAAAAAAAAACTTACAAATATACACATTAGCTCAGAAACTGTTCGTCACAGTTCTAGCCTTTCCTGCCTGAAGAGTTGATGAATGTTCCCCTTCCAGAGAATTTGTAACATTAAAAAAAAGGACCCACAAACTGATACTGGGGTTCGACCTGAAGATCAGAAAAGCAAAGCAGCTGGCTACTAACTAGCTCTCAACCCCAGCTCTGGCTGATTCCATGCACAAACTCTTCACCAAGTCTCAAACTTCTGTCTCTCTTCAGTGTGGCTGGAGAATGAATGCCTCATACTGACTCCTGCTACTGACTTATATACCTCTCATGAGTCCTGAGATTAAAGGTGTGTAGTACTACCACCACCACCACCACCACCACCACCTCCTCCTCCTCCTCCTCCTCTTCCTCCTACTCCTCCTAGCTTCTGGCTGCTGGGATTAAAGGTGTGTGCCTGGCTTCAATGGCTTGTGGCTGACTTTGCTTTCTGAATCTTCAGACAAGCTTTAATGAATCATAAATATCACCACAATTTTTATGTGATATATTTTTAAAGCATTTTAATGTGTGGTACCTAGCATTACTGAAGGACAAGCCACTCCTTTTGAAGCATGTCATGCTGCTGCTGCAATTTGAGATAACGGCCACCAGATGGGAGCAGTGGTGCAGAAAGATGACCACTCTAGCCAGAGCTGAAGACAGTTCAGCAAGCAAGTCCAAATTTGCCATGCCTACAATCATGATAAAGCTTAAAGCAAAGCAAGGGGTTACTACACCCAACATAGTCAGAACCACACTATTCAGCGTCTATGCCCATAAAAGGCCCATCTGTGAGTAGGAAGGCTTTAACCATGAGATCAAAATCAAAACCTAATTGTCATCCTAGAGATGTGAGCCACTACCAGTGCCCAGGGGACCAAATGGAGATGTAAACTATTAGGTGAGAGCAAGAAGGGAGGCAGGATCACCTTAGCTACTTCTCCAGCAGGCCCCATTTCCATGCATGCCTCTGTAGATGAGGAAGGAAGAGCGCTGACAGCACTGCTCCAGCACAGCCCATTTCCCACATGGATCAGTCTCCAAAGCTGAACTGAGGATAGTCTATCTAGACAGAGGTAAGGCCATCCATGTGGCCTGTGCTGGTGTCAGTACATTGACATTTACATTCCACAAAGGAGTGGGGGCTCCATCTGTGAAGGAAAGCAGTTGAGGCAGGCAGGTAATTTTCATACAGCCAAACTTGGCCTTTTAAGAATGTGGGTTGCTTTTATTTATTTATTTTTTTTAATTTACAAAAAGAAACATATTTTCCTCCATTTTCCCTAAAATATGTATCTCTCTGGTCTTTCTAACTTGTTTTTTATAAGGTATATTAATTGTACAGAAGAATGGGTTCCATTATGACACATTCATACATCATACAATATACTCCTTTCATACCTCCCTACACTGTACCTTTCTTGTCTTTAATTTGTTGTTGTTTTGTTGAGGCAGGTCACTCACTCTAGTCTAGGCTGACCTAGAACTCACTCTATAGCTAGAACAGGCTTCAAACTCATAGTAATCCTCCTGCCTCAGCCTCCTGAGTCCAGGGATTATATATGTGAAATACCATATCCATCTTTGGTTTTTAATTTTAATTTCGAGACAGGGTTTCTCTGTGTAGCTTTGGAGCCTATCCTAGCACTCACTCTGTATACCAGGCTGGCCTCGAACTCACAGAGACCTGCCTGCCTCTACCTCCCGAGTGCTGGGATTAAAGGCATGCACCACCATCATCCCTCGGTTTTTATTTTTGATGGGAACAGAAATTACTATTTGCAATTCCCTGTGAGTTCAGTACTATATCTGTATGGTTGGTCCCCCTAGGTCATCACACTTTAGAACAAGGCTTAACACATAGTGAGGATTCAATAATGAATCAGCTTCTCTCAATTATTGCTACAGAGAACAGACATTATGGGAAACTGAGTATGAATGGTTGTGAAGGTACAGCTACCACACACATGCAGATAGCTGTCATCATGCAGGAATATGGAATTGGTTCTATCAGGAAGATAGAGGTGTGTGTGTGTGTGTGTGTCCTCCATGAACACACACGCGCGCGCGCGCGCGCGCGCGCGCGTGTGTGTTCATGGAGGTGCACATGTGTGCGGGTGTACATGCATGTATGGGTGGAAACCAGAGGTCAATCTTGGATGTAATTTCTCGGGAGCTGCCTACCTTGTTTTATGAGACAGGGTCTCTTGCTAGTCTGGAGTTCGCTGATGGGCCATGGGGCTCCAGAAATTCTCCCATCTTTGCTTTCCTAGTGCTGGGATTGCAAGCATGCCCTACCATGCCCAGATTTTTCTGTGGGAGCTAGGAACTTAGCTCAGCTCTCCTTGTTTATCCAGCAAGCACTTTACC